AGATTCTTGTATTGGCAATATACTTGTTCATGAATGGTGCTTTATTTGTTTTGTTTTATTTTATTTTGAACCGAATGAACTCATGATATATACGTCACATTATAGTGTAGTGTAATATTACCTTTGTGGGGCAGTAAAATCTGTTAGAAGATCTTCTACAATGTCTTGGGTCTTGGTAAGACCATAGTCCTTGTTGGTGACTGTGACATTGCTTTTTCTGTGTGACAAATAGCATGATACATTACTTTCGACTAATCCGAAACACAATGACTTTGAAATAATTTTTTCTAACATTAGAGACAAATTCATTTGTAATGTATTGCCACATTTGATTTGTAATACGCTGCTTGAAATTATTCAAATATGAATAAATTTATTGGCAAATGTATAATTACTGATATGCAAATGAAAAGGCAACTTAATCACATGCACATTAATTCAAATTAACTTTCTTAATCATTGTGGATACTTTTTTTAAAATCACACCTCGGTTTATTGAAGTAATGATTTCTATTTTGGTAATCCATTCGATATCATTAAATTTTGCTTGTTATAACAAAAAAGAAATTTAACTTCTACATCACATTGTATCGTCATGCATTCATACATACAGAAACGTATACCCCCCAAAAGAAGGCTAGTGTCATTAGAAAGGCATGTGAATTTACAGTTCAAGGACAAATTGCTTGTGTTGCAATTCAGCCATAAATCCGCTTTCAAGTCTGGAAAAATGACAATAAAACATACTTAATGGTGTGTAATTTGAAGAAAGTATTAGGCGCTTACTTGATGGAAAAGTATCATAGTAATTTTAAACTGGGTGTAAAAAATACGAAAATACGAAAAGTTCAGTTTACTGGTATTCCCAGCAATAGACTGTGCCCACTCACATATGGGTCAAGATTTGAGAGCATTTGTTAATTATTTAATAATTGGTTTGTGTGGTGTCATGGGCGATTGCTGACACAGTTTAAAAAAAATACAAGTAAAAATAAACAACAACAAACAACCCCAAAACAGACAAGAATGTAGCAAAAATAAGCATTATAAAAACAATGATTTCAGGACATTTGGAATCTTTGAATGTTGTTGCTTAATCATTGAATTCCATGTATATGGTTACGATTATCACTGAAGTTAATGAATAATATTGATTGTGTTGTAACTAATTTATGAACTTATGACCTACTATATATTAGTAGCTGATGATCTCATCAAAATGAGACCTGGCATGCAAAAAGTTGTACAAATACAAGATAAACAATACCATCAAATCTAAAGCTATCTATTCATCCACAAATTGTATTCACAAATTTAATGATAACTTCCCCACAGTCATATGTATTGTTACTTTGATCTTGCATTTGAAATTTGTCTCGACGCTTGACTTTCACAATAATAAATGGGAAGACAATTGAAATCCATAGTCAAACAACCTCAACTGACACCTATTCAGTATTGTATTTTGCATGTTGGTGGATTCACACTATATTACAGGTAGATTCAGATTTCAGATGATAAACCGAATTTGTGTCATTTGTCATTTGTAATTTGAAAAATGGGCAAGACACACACGATAGGCTAAAAACAGTAGTGGTCAGCACTACTAGTAAAATGAAACCAAAATAAAAAAAAAACATAAGACAGGACTTAGCTTAGAAAAGGGTGAACATGAAGTTTCGAATGGGCAAGCTAATTCTTCTTCAGGTGAATGATTAAAACAGCTGGGATATGGTAGTTGGTAAAAATGATACTCAACAAAAAAGATGTACAGAATTGACGACACGGAGGGCAGTGTTGATAATAAAATTATCAACTTGTTGTTACATTCCAATCTATATCTATTTTTACTTTCCACTTATTCATATATATTGTATGCTTTAAGAGTTCGAATGATTTTAATGCTCTGATTTAATTGAAAATTACTAAATAAATGAGTTATAATACGTTTTCGTAAGTCAATTTAATTATCAACAATCACTCGTTTGTAGTTACCAACTTGCCTGTAATTACACTACTTTATATTATTAGATCTCTATAAAATCTGGACGATATCGATAAGGAATTATTTGTTGCTGTGAAAGCCCTTTTTATACATACGCAGTTCCGGCGACAATACAAAACAAAAACGGTTCAACTCGATATGTCGCATAACTGTTACATTTAGTGTATGACACAGACGTTACAGGCTACAGGCACTTAATATATCCGATTATACAATTTTAAATATATACCAATATATAATAAATGCACTTGAAAGCATGGGTTATAATCATGATGTATTTATTTAATACCTACTAGGATAATATTATTATAGTTTCTAAATTCTAAGCATGCATTATCGATACAATCATTTCAAGATACATAAGTGGCACTGTGGCGTAGTTTAATCTTCAACTTGATTGTCCATGTGTCTGGATTTCGTCTAAAACAGAATATACATTATAGACATAAGTCCTATTACATTAATATAAAAACATACATATGCTGACCACTTTTTGTTTGATATGTATATTTTAGGATATCACATACTACAACTGTAAATGCCAAGTATTTTGTCGGGTCTAACAAATATTTGGAAGCAATTATTCTCATATTGAACGAGACATGCCTTTAACGGACAATGCAGTTCGTAACTTTATCGGGTTATCAATAAACAGATGTGATTAAATACCATATTTTAATAACAAAATAGGAGACAGAAACACAATAATACAAATTATAGAATAGACACGTGCGCATTTATGGGGTTAGTGCCTCTTTGAACTGTTGTTAATATTTAAATATAGATTTGTTGTATGTCTATTGTTATTTTTCTAAATAATACTATTTTGAAATATGCCACATAAAATATCAGAAGTACATCAGATGTTTAATTTAGATACCCAAACATGTGCTGTGTTTAAACTCATTAATTCCAATCATCACTAGTAGTGTCATAAGTCCAATCATCACTAGTAGTGTCATAATTCCAATCATCACCTAGTAGTGTCAAAATTCCAATCATCACTAGTAGTCCCTGCATCGGTAGTGGTAGCACAGCTCGCATCGTATTCATTGCAACACACAAAATTATTGTTGCCCCAATTCATCAAGCATTGGCATGGATCAGCTGTACCACAGACTTGACTACATGAATCTATAAATCTATAAATATAATTTGTCAATTTGTCTGACGATTTATGACAACATATTTGATTCTGTCAATAATTATTGTGGTTGCAGGAATTATACATCGAGTAGACGATTTTGAGGTTTTACAATTTTTTTGTCTGACAAACACGGACACGCAATTGAATAGATCGAATATACCGTAATTTAGTCCACCTACCATAGTTGAACACAGTCTTGCCCAGCGACATCTTGCTGAACACTATTGCCTGGTTGTCCGTCGTACCATTTTTCATAATCTGTTGGTAATGGCTCGCCATTAGTGAACACGAATTGCCCCTCATTCACAGAATCAGTAGCTCCAATCCAGTAACCATTACCCATACACTCTCTTAAGGTATCGGTTTGGGAGTTGATATGCTTTCGTATTTTCCTGTGTACTTCTACGTCGTTGACAACTGCCATCATGTCGTAAGAATTGTCACATACTTGCCTGGCATTGGTCCAATTCTGTTTGTCATTGTAACAGAACTTGTAGCATACGTTATTATCTGTATCACATACATCTATTTGGATAAAAATATTGAGAATTCCAGATCACTATATTCATACCATATGTTTTACTATCGGGAATTACAATACTTCACTTGTTAAATAATACAAAATAATATACAATCGATACTGTGTATATTACCAACATGTCTTGCAATATGATTGTTGATATACAAAGCGGAGTTTGTTTACGTACCATCAACGTCCATCTGTAATAACAATTAAGGAAGTTGTGTTAGGGTTATATACAGCACAACGTTTGAAAATTTCGCTAAAATTGAATCATTTTGATAATTCATTTAACGTGTGTATCAAATGCAAAACGAATACTTAACTGTTTGATAAATATTACATCAGGAAAACGAACTACCTGAATCAGATCACTTGCATGGATTGAAGTCCAGAATAAAGTCAATGCTAACCCAACGCACATATAATCCATTTTAACTCTGGCCAATTGTTTCCGTTTCTGAATAGGCTGGAATGATAACAAAAATACAACAATTGCAAATAACGAAATTGAAGTATTAGAAAGGAAAAAAAATATTAATAACTGCGATACTTACTCAAAATGCTCTGCGAGTGAGTCAGTTTTACACTGTACCGTTTGTATTGCGATGCTTTTCTTTTAGACTTCTTGTCAGCTGCATATCATGTTCAGCAAGTTGAAACATGCTTCTTCATGTTTTGGTTTTCGCTGACATGCGCGTTTTTTGACAAGGCGTGATGTGGCGGAATTCCAGAAAAAAATCTTGAGCGATAACGCAGTGTCAATATTTGTGTTGAACAACATCTTTGTTATGATGATATTATAAAAAAAACAAAAGAGAGAACTATGTATATTCGAAGACATTAGGAATACAATGGAATGATATTTGTTAATCTAGACAGTGTCAGTTCATTTTATATGCGTTGTTATATTTATATATTTGGGCTACAACAAAAGTCTGTGTGTTATGATACAAACCATATGAATAGTTCAGCCGCTCATTCAATATAAAGTTCATATTTACATATGACGAACGTTGACAACCCAAGCTAATATAATGATAAGAGCCAGTTGCTAGCACACACAAATGAAGCATCGCCATAAATAACCGAATACTAATAAAGACAAAACATGCATTGAAATAACTTGTAATAATTTACTCAGAATATTGAATACTAGCAAAATACGCACAATGAAGTAATTATTATTACTTTATATATGTATTGTAATATTACATATATCATTGTCTGTGTCACATATACATCATAAATGAACCTGATAAATAAAGGAAAAGATACGACCCAAACCGTTTGGATCACACAATATTGAAATGTTATGTGTTATCCACTACTACGTGTAATGAGAATATCCTTACCTACATTGATATGTATCTATAGGATATAACATCATAATCAATAATTTCATTAACTCAAATTCTTTACTCAATAATTTGTTTGAAAATTATTTGGGTAATAGAAAATGAAGTACAAAACACAAAAGCATAATTACTGGTCCACATATCAAGTTATTTCCGATTAATTCAGAACAAATAGTTCAGCTGACATAAAAGTAAGTTTCACGTAAATCCGAAATGTGTGTATACTTAAACGATTAACAGGTCATAAGTGTAGATCGTGGAATATATAATTAGGTTTTAGAATATGACGTCAAAGCAAATAAATGTAGCTGCAAGGAGTAGTGATCAGTTTGGGACACTAAGCTGTTTAATTCAAGTTTCTAAGAACATGGTTGCCAGGGACAACCCCACCATATATAAAATAAACGCGTACTCGAAGTATACTGTACTGATTGTAATAGTTGCTTGGTGGGTGCCAAAATATATGTATTACTCGGTATAGTGGATATTTGTGTTTTAATTCTCCAAGAATTCGATTTTCTTGTTGTTAGGTTACTTTAGGCGTTGGGTTAGTTGCTAGGAACACGTTCAAAACACGTACAAACCAAATATGAAGAAAGAAGGTGATTGTTTTTTCTCTGACTTTAATGTGAACTTGAGCTATTTATTTGTTTTTGCTTTGCATATTGAATACAGCGTATATCAGTGTGATTGTTACAATATTTTATGACCACTGATTGACCACTTATAAAATTGAACAACGCAAACCACCATATTTTCAATGTAGTCACTTTCACCAAGACATTTCATTTTTTTCATTATATTTATATATTTGAAACTCATAAGAATTCTTGCCAATTTGCATATAAACACCGTAAAAAGCAGAAAAAATAGCAAATATACCGTCAGAAATTATTGAAAAGATTTGTAAAGGAGATACAAATGTACGAATACAAAAGCATAATTTCCTGCACAGTGAGATGTAACACCGTTACAATTTGTTATGTGCGGGACTAAATGCAGTGCGCTCATTATAGATTAGTTGTATACACAGATAAAGTATCACCATATTCAAAAATGAAAATGTATTTTGCAAATGATCAAGTACCCATTTTCCTTAAATCATTTCACAATTTGCGTGATTCTTTTTCAATTCGCGCGAGATTGTCATTGTACGTCACACCAATTGCATGTCACGATCTTCTAACTGACACGCACACAACATGATGAAGACAGTGAAATAATTACATCGAAGATAGGGATTTCTTTTAAAGTTGTAGTTTTTACACATTATATATTTGTAGAATAGTATAAAAAAATACATGCTACTGCTTTAAACTGTCATTGTATATGTTGGTAAATGTATTTATTGATGCATTAAATTCTAAACTGTCAAGATCATGTTAGAACTTGTTTTTATGTGTATTACAACTACGTCATAGAATAAAAAAATGGTGTTAATAATACCAAAGAAAATCCAAATGAGTCTATATCAGCTTCGTTTGCTTTATAATTCAATATACGAAGACACACTAACTGTACAATCTTTGCGAATCGTTTTTAAAATATAACGCTCCTAACTTGTCATTTTTCTTTATATTATTAATGATATATTCATGTTATTTTTTTGCATTCTTTATTGCTGTTAACTGGGAAAAATTTTCAAAAAACAGGAAGACGGCTGCATTAAATTATCGTCACATTTTGTCATCAATATGTTTCTCGCATATGATTTGTTGTGATAGAGATCCCATTACGCGTGTTCATCTATCCAACGCATTTCTAAAATTGCCAACACCGAAAGAATGAGACGTATAGTGAGATTTAATTTCGTACACAGAAACGAGTAAAATTATCGTCACACTTCAATACTGCAAAACACACTTAATACATGTTCTGTGAAAATGCCAGGACACTAAAAATACATCCAAAGAATACCACTAACCAGTTCTTTCAGACTGACTCATTTGCATAAGTAAGAAATCTATGTTTTGTAATCGTCTCGCAATTTGCATGATTCTTCTTCCATTCGCGAAAAATCTCTGTGAAAACAACCTAAACGACTAACAAAACGCTCCACAAATTACAGATACACTACTGTGACATTGTTCGATTGAGTGAGAGAAAAATATTCAATGAGTATGAAAAAAAAGACTTTTCGTGCGTGTCATGAGTGCACACGGAAATCTCAATTGTAAATATTTTTCAACAAACAAATTTCACTTGTTTGATCATCATGTGTATCCATGGATGAGTTTGCTGATTGATAGATGAGATACCATGCTTTTAAACACCTGTTGAAACTCGTTTTGATGTGTTTTGCAACAAATACACTTCATAATCGCACATAAGATAAGTAATACATATGCTGTAAATATACGACAGCACTTATGGACTTATGGTTGTTCTTTATTAATATATCCATGTAAATCGTAAATGTAACGATACTATGCATATGAATATTTTCCTACAATGAAAAATGGTCGACTTTTTTCAAAATAAATTCTTCTAATATGAGATTAAAAGCCAAACGACATTCCAATTCTGATGCCCTTCAATCAAACGCATTTCTAGCCAATGACAGCCCTGGATACAGTGGGATCAAAAAAGTTCAATTGTATACACATAAATGAGCGAGAGTATCGTCATATTCAATACCATATATTACGTTCTATGCGAATGTTCAATGACACAGAAAAGTATCACCATATTCAGAAATGAAAACTTATTTTGCAAATGATCAAGTACACTAGCAAAACAGTGTCACTCATTTTTTCCCAAATCATTTAACAATTAACGTGATTCTCATAAGTTCGCGCGTGAATTCCATTGTACATCCCAATACTAGCTTGCCACAATCTTGTAACTGACACGTATACTGTATACTGAATTCATTGAAAGAATAATATCGGTGAATCTGGAAAATTACCTTCTTTGTATGTTTTTAGATTGTATAACGATTTCACTTAAAGTTGTAATTTTCAACAAGAAATATATAGTTTCAGCAAATACATCATAATGATTTGAACTATTATTGTATATGTATGTAAATTTAGTACTGATTGCTGATACATTAGGTTCTAAGCTGTCAAGCTCCTGTTAAAACTTGTTTAATGTTTATTACAACAAGAATAGCCAACTAGAGTCAATAGCAAAGGAAATCAGAATGTCTCTGTATTAGTTTTGTGTAATTTGTAATTTGATAAACGAAGACATATAACACTCCTAGAAATCTATGTTTTGTGGTCGTCTCACAATTTTCGTGATTTTATTTTTCATTCGCTTCAAATCTCTGTGAAATTATCACAAAAGACTGAGATACGATTCACAAATTACAGGCACACTGCTGTAATATGGACTTTTTGTTCGTGTCATGAGTGCCCACGGAAATTTCAATTGAGAAAATTTTCAACAAACACATTTGTCTTTTTGAACCATCATGTGT